ATAATTGTAGTTGGGAAGCCAGAGAGATATAAAGAAGATAAGGTGCTTGCTTTGCACATGGCTGACCTGGGTTTGGTTCCTGATACCTCATATGGACCCCCAAACACCACCAGATCCCTGAGCACAGGACCAGGAGTAAGCCCTGAGACATAGCAGGTATACTCCAAAAATCATTAATACATTTTTTTAAAAAATTAAAATGCTGTTTTTAAGTGAAACTCCAAGGGCTGGAGTGATAGTACAGTGGGAAGGATATTTTCCTTGCATGTACAGACCCAATTTCAACCCCCCAAGTCCACCATGCTGAAGGTCCAGTTCAGAAATCAGAACCTTACCCCTCAGAGGTTCTACCTACAGAGTAAAATGGTAACTACCACTGACACTATTAAGAAAAACTATTTTTGGGGCTGGAGTAGTAGCACAGCAGGTAGGGCGTTTGCCTTGCATTAGGCCAAACCGGGCTCGATTCTCAGCATCCCATAAGGTCCCCCAATCACCACTGGGAGTAATTCCTGAGTGCACAAGCCAGGAGTAACCCCTGAGCATTGCCGGGTGTGACCCAAAAAGAAAAAAGAAAAAAAAACATAACAACTATTTTCTCTCTGGAGACCTTAAATATACCCCTGGCTTTATGCTTATGTTTACTCCTGATCAACTGGACCAACTTTATCTTCCCAGCTCAGGCTGGATCCCGGAGCTAGATCCTCATTACCACCCCACTCCACCCCTTTTATTTATAGGGGGTCTGAGGAGACCCAGAGGCCAATGCCCAAAAACTCAGCCATTGCACCTGATGCCTTGCAGCTCAGAACCTGGGGTGCTGAAGTCGACCAGGGCTTCACTGAGCAAAACTACTTGGAGATCTCTGCCCTCCTCTTTATAGACTGCAAGACCCACAAATAGATCCATCTTCTGAGCTTAGGGAACCCAGAGTCCCTTCTCCAAGAAAAGCTCTGAGGAACATTTCTTTTTATACATTCACCACAGAGAAATTTTTCCTTAGCCTCTGGATCTCGGTTATTTATTTATTTTTAATGAATCGCTCCTCTTAATTTTAGGGTTTGCTAGCCATTTTTCACTGTTTACTCTCCATCCATCAGTCATTCTTCAGCAGTCCTACTTTTTAGGACTGCACTCAAGGGGTCCAACCTTGCATTTCCTGGAATGACCAAGAATCATGGTGAATGGGAAAGTGATGAGGAGACTGGATCTTGGTCCATGTGACTTTGGGATGCAGATGCTAGACTGGCACTTCGATGAATCAGAAACCCTTACCTAATGCTCAGGCTCTACAGAAAGGCTCCCTGCAGGCAGGGCCATGACATAGCAGAACACTGACTGGCGCAAGAACATGAGGAATCAGACAACAGGCTCAAAGAGCTGGAGCACATACCTGGCATGTGCAGGGCCCTGGGCTTGGTTCCAGCACCATAGAGTCTCAGAGCACTGACCAATGTAATTCAAGTGGCCTCTAACACCACTGAGGAGGCTTCAAAACCAAACCAAACCAGAACAGAAAACCTGAACGTGGCCTAAAAAGATAGTACAGGGGTTAAGACCATGCCCTTAGTTCAAATTCTAGTACTGCATTGCTAAGAGTGGTTCCTGAGCACAGAGCCAGGAGTAAGCCCTGAGCACTGCTGGGTGTGACTCCACACCAAAACAATAAACAAAACTTGAAAGCCCTAATAGAATTCTGCAATACTTTCATTAACAACATTTTCTTTTTTCCATTTGAACAGAAAGCAGAATTTGAGCATAAAGCCTGAACTGCACGGAACCATCTTACCTGCCTTTTCCAAACCGCAAGCCCTTGGACCAAATACATTCACTGGAACAAACAGCTCTTGGGCAAGAGAGCGCCAACATTCTCTTTTCTCAGGCAACCTCTGGTGACCTTAGTTCACTCAGAATAAACCTCTCCAAGAGCATAACATTGACTCAGCCTAAGCATCTTCTGCAGCTCCATGCATGGCTTTAAGCCTCTGGTACTCTGACAGTTACAAACAGTGGTAGAGGTTTGGACAGATCAGCCACAAATATCTTCAATTACAAGAATGCAAAATTTGTTTCAAATCATGTGACTAATTATCACATGGTGAACAGCTTAAAACTTCCCTCAACCTGGAAACCTAATATTTGTACTAGCAACTGGGAGAGGCTGTTATCTGGTGGGAATGAAGTCAAAAGCTCAGGGTCTCTGTTGCCTCATACGTGAATAGCTTAATGGAAAACAAAAATAAGCAGAGATTGAAAAATAATATTTCAGATAGAAAGAAATGGAGCAAACAGTCAAAGGACTGCCGTACTCTCCTAGCCCAGAAATGAGAGCTCTCCTTCTTCCCTTCCTGAGAAAGGAACCCAGTGCTACAACCTGATACAAACTGCAGAGTTGCTAGACCAGACCCCTCCCTTCCCCCTACCCAATGAAAGGGGGTAGGGGAGTGGGTGGGCCATGGAAGGGGGCTACTTCCTACAGTGATTATGGGTCAGAGTCAGGCATGTGACTCAGATTGGTTCCAGGAGATATAGTACTAGGGTTTTTGTTTTGAGAAAGAGAATCTCTCTCTCTTTGCAGGAATTGCTAGTCTGGTAGGATCTAGAGTTGCTGATGGCCATCTTTGTTACCACATGGGGCAGGCTGTTCTATGAATAAAGCTAAAGCAGAACCAAGTGACTCAGCAAGGCTAAATTCTAATGATATTTTGAGGTCTGCAAAACACAAGCCCTATATGATGGTATGATACCAAATTTTTTGTTTATTATTTTTTGTTTGTTTTTGGTCACACGAGGTGATATTCAGAGACCGCTTCTGGCTCTGTGCTCAGGGGCCACTCCTGATGGTATTTGGAAAAGTAGTGCCTGGATTCGAACCAGGGCACAGCTGTTGCTGCACGCTAGGCAATGACCTTAACCTTTGTATTTTCTCATCAGCTCTAATACTGAAGTTCTTAAATCCTGGAGTTTACAAGTTCTGTGATTCAATAACCCTCCATCCTTTAAATACATATATATATATATATATGTATATATATATGTATAGCCTTTGAGTCCCTCCCTTTAAGCTTTCCACAGTTTCTTAAGTCCTGCATTCTGGGCTGGAGAGATAGAACATCAGGTAAGGTCCCCCGAACCCCAATAGGAGTAAGCCCTGAGTACAGCCGTGACCCGAAACAGTTCATCCAAAATTAAAAAAAAAAAAGTCTTGCACAGTAATAAAAACAATGAAACAATTAAGAATTCCGCACTAAAGCCCTAATGTATGTGCGCATAGAATTGTGTATTTTGAAACACTGGTAAAATGTCTCTTAATTTTAAAACTCAATTCCTTTGCTCTGAGCGTTTAAGAGGTAAACTATATTCAATTGATACTCAGATATTGTTTCCGCCCGTATAACCTTTGCATTATGCAAATTATGTGTCTACATTACATTTTCATTTTCAGTATGTTTAACATCTTCAGTAAATGACTGATAGACACGTTATTACTATGTGTCTGGCACTATGCTAAAAATTGCATGTACATTATCTCACTATTTTTTCAGAACAACCCAGGGAATAAGATGTAGAATTTATTAAATTTATTGAAGAAGGAACAATGGTTTGGGAGGTTTAATTACTTGCCAAAAAAATCACAAAGCTACTGAGCAGTTGAGCTTGGACCACAGTCAGGAAATGTGATTCATGAGCTTGTGCATTCTCAATCATTAGAAAATTCTGTCCTCAGCTTCATGGAGGTATCTTCTTTTGGCAACTACACTTCTTACTAACAAGCCTGTTTTCAAAAACAACTCAAGGAGTACCTCAGTTGTCTTGACCACCAGTGTTTACCCGGCATACAAGCAAACAAAGAGATAACAGGTTTCAATGCACAATAGCATTGGTACTTAATAGACTAACCATTTTTAGATTTGGGAGATGCTAAAATGGAGAACAAGAAGACATGCCAAATAAACTTACAGAATGCTAGGGATGTAAACTGTAGAATTTTATTTGGGTTTCACCACATAGTTATTTTTTTTTACTGATAAAGAAAGCAAGGTTCACATAGTTCACATAGCTTCACATGGCTAACTTGAAGTTCATACATTGGAAGCAGTTAGAGAAATAATGGTGTCCAGTCAACCCAAAACGTATCTTCTTTCCACATTTTACATAATTGCATATGTGTAGGTAGCAGCACAGGGAAGATGTGTTATCTAAGATTGAAATAGGCTATTCTCTCTCTCTCTCAAAAGAAGGAGCTCTGAGCCTAAGTTTCTCTAAATATTCATCCCGTAAAGGAGTCAACTCAACAGCATATGAATCTCAGGAGAAACATAGGAAAATATTCCCAAAGTAAGTTTTGCACATGGGCTCACCCCATCACACATCAGAATTAAACAGTAGAGATGACAATCTAAGTATTCCCCACTTTAGTTAATAAATGGTCCTCATTCTCCTGACCCTGAAAGAGCCCCCAATATGCCATCGGGCTACACTAGTATGTGACAGGGATGAATGGAGATTGTTACTAACACTCGCTAGAGCAAATTGATGAACAACAGGGTGATAGTGATAGTGGTAGATAATAAATGCACATCCAAGAACGTCTTCACACTCTTTGCAGATAGGAATGGTAGTCTATTGGGAAGCTGACCTCATCCCAGTACAAGGATTCACAGAAGGCTTGTGTTCTTCCATGTTTTGTCTGATCCTTCTAGCCACCCCCCACAACTATCTCCCCTTTCAATCCTTGTCAGCAGACTGAGGGAGGAGAAAGCCTTAGAGCCAAAACTGGGTGGTTTGGGCACTGCTGAAATATGCAGCCACAGCAAAACCTGATAACATAGTATTAACAGATCATTCCATCTTTAGTGCCTAGATGTTTCTGGTGCCAGAGTCTGCCAAGGTTTGAGGTTGAGCAGATGGCCTAAATCCACATTAAGATAGCTTCCCTTCCCCCGGTCTGAGTTTGGATTATTGGGTCCCCTAGAATTTGGCATAGCACACTCACTTACCTCTGCTTTTCTCTGTTTCTCTTCCTGCTCTTTTTGCTCCTTCTCCATGCCGACCAACTTAAGCTTCAGTTCAGACACTTCAGTCATCAGATCCAGCTTCTGGGTCTCGAGTGATGTGCGACTTAGCAGCTCCTGAGAACAAAGACAGATTTTAAAATCACAAACCTTCCCAGCGACAAGGATAATGCTAGCTCTACCCATGGCACATAAGGCAATCTCCAAGTTTTGTGTTAAACAGTGCAAAGTTGAATCAGTTGCCTGAACCACAGGTCTATTGGAAAGAGGTCTCAGCTCAGACTGAGTCATTCGGGGAGAATACAGCTGCTGCCAATACCCACTGTGTTCTGAAAGACAATGTGAGCTACAGTTCACAAAAACAAAGCATGGTTTATCCACAAAAACCATTATTCATTATTTCCAAGTAGAGAAAAATGAATGGATACTCTCAAATTAAATCTTCTCTACTTTAAAGGCAAAACTGTAGCACTGTAGCACTGTCCTCCCGTTGTTCATCAATTTGCTTGAGTGGGCAACAGTAATGTCTCCATTTTGAGACTTGTTGTTATTGTTTTTGGCATATCAAATACACCATTGGTAGCTTGCCAGGGTCTACATGCGGGAAAGGCAAAACATCAGGTCCTAATACTAAAACAAATATTCTATTAACATCTACTTTTTAAAAACCAAGATTTCTGTGTCACTTCCTGACACACAATTTTTATCCCCCTATCTTCAACCCATCTTATCATAAGACCTAGAAGAATGAGCCTAGGGGAGAGCCAGGAAATAAGGTATTCAGTGAGTATTTGTTGAATGATTATATTAGAATCTTATATGTGAGGTGGATCTTTCCTAGATGGTGCAAAATAACAATTCAGTCACTATGGAATATAGGCAATAAGACTGATTTTTTTTCCTATATAAATGAGAACAGAACAAGGGAATAGTTCTATTATCAACAGAGCAATTATAGAAAACCTGCCATTAATATCTAAACTTAATTAGAAAGAATAATTAAACAAAAATAAAGTTTGATGCACAAAATGCCTCTTCAGAACTACTAGAAACTACTAGAAATTACAAAAGACCTTGGTGGTAGGGGGACAACTAAAAACATTCCTCAACTTCTCAAAGTCTAGAGGAGGTAACACATTTTTCCAACGCAATATTCTCTAAGGCCCAAGTTCCAGATACACAGTAGACAAGAGGAATAGTAGGCAACTAGGAGAGCTATGGACCAAAATGGCAGGTGGAAAAGACATAATAATCTGCTCTGAGCTGAATATTCTGCACTATTATCAGTACCCCAACCCTCTAGTACAAGGCTGGTCATCTTAACATTTTGAATGAAGAGCTGTATTGGACAGATTCTCAACTATCTTTAGCTCATAAAACAAACACACAGTGCAGAGAGTTTACCTTGGTGTGTGTGTGTGTGTGTGTGTGTGTGTGTGTGTGTGTGTGTGTGTTTTCCCTCCCAAGGCCACCATAGACCCTTAGTACCTTAGAAAGTCAAGCTAGCAACTGCCCACCCATCTATATGAGGGAATGGCTATCTATAAGCCAACCAGTTCAACAAAATAAACACTGGGTGGAGGAGCCAGCTCTACTTGAGCCACCAGACTAGAAGCTGGATTACAGGACAGAGGACACAGCACTGCTATGAGAGAACTGTGGGCTTCCTGGTCACGAGGCATGAGTTGTGTCAGTGTGTCCATGTAAGGGGGAAGAGCAGAGATTGTTCAGGTGTCTCCTCTGTGGCAGACATAGCTGGAAATTTCCTCTTAATAATTCCTCCCAGTTAAATAAATACTATTATCCTGATAGGACAGATGAGGAAACAGCCCAGAGGCTATCTTCTATTGGAAAAGGATACATGCCAATCAATAGCAGTTATTTTTTTAAACCAAGGTCTGTTTGACTTCAAGATTCATTTTTATCTCATGTATAAATATTCTTTCCCAAGCAGAAGAAGTCCAAGAATATTAGAGGGCAGATGGGGCGGAAGTGCGTGGGTAGAGTACATGCTAGAAGGGAAAAAAAAAAAATGAACATTTACTAAGTTCAGGAAACAGTCACTCAAGATTTTCTTGAGTTAGGGCCAGAAAGAAAAAGGATTAAGGAGCTTGTCTTGCACCTGGCCGACCCTGGTTCCATCCCAGGCATTTTATATGGTACCCCAATTACTGTGAGGAGTGAGCCCTGAGCACAGAGCCAGGAGTAAGACCTGGGCTCTAACAGGTGTGGTCCAAAACACCAAAAGAGAGAGAGTGAGAGGAGAGAGAGAGAGAGAGAGAGATTTTGTTGAGCATGTACTCTCTACTAGGACCTAGTGCTAAGATCGTGCAGTCCATAAAAGACCATAAAGAGCTTTTCTTTGAGTGAAGAAGATAGGTGTATATTTCCTGAATATATTTAAAATCTCCACTTTTCCTTATTTCTTCCTCTTTTCCTGTCTTTATCTCCTTGTTCCAAGGATATTCCCTCACCCTTTTAATTACCTTCTTTGTTCCAAAAACTGACGTGAAGCAGCTTTTTAATTTTTTAATGTTTTTGGTTTTGGGGCCAGACCTGGTGATGCTAAAATTAACTCCTGACTCCGCACTCAGGAATTACTTCTGAAGGTGCTTAGGGGACAATTTGAGATGCAGAGGACTGAACTTGGGTTTGGCCACGTGCTAGACAAGCAACCTACCTGCTGCACTATGTCTCCAGGCCCTTGTCATGTTTTTGGTTTTTTTTTTTTAAAGACATTTCTAATTAGAAAACAAATCACATCCCACAAATGAGTGTGAACATTCTATGTTTGTCCCTCTCTCTCTCTGACTCATTTCATTCAGCACGATAATCTCCATGTCCATCCATATATAAGCAAAATTTCATGACTTCATTTTTCCTAACAGAAACATACACCAGCAAAGAGGTGGGTATTGGGACATTGTATGACTAAAACCCAATTATGAACAAGTTTGTAACTGTATCTCACAGTTAATTCAATTAAAATTTTGTTTTTAAATCAAAGGGGCCAAGAATGTAGCTCAGTGATAGAGTGCATTCCTCACATGTGTGCAAGCCATGGTTTATTCCCTGGCACTGCACACACAAAAATAACAATCAGTCGTAAAACACTGAGACAGTTTAGAAGCTGAAATTTGTGTTATCATAGTATGAAAGCCAGGCCATAAAGTTCTGTACACACCTAAGATTGGCGGGAATGTGTACTTGAGTCTCCTGACCACCAATGGGAAGGGGGAAAGAAGCAATTCTTTCCCTGGGTTTAGGAGATGATAACAATGCTTTGGAGCACTGGATACTGAGAAAATATTCTCCTGTGCGACTTTAATCATTTATTCAACAAATGGTTTTAAATAGCTACCAGATGCCAAGGCAAACAATACGATAGTTAGCACTGTAGCACTGTCCTCTTGTTGTTCATCTATTTGCTCGAGCGGGCACCAGTAACGTCTCCATATTGAGACTTTTGTTACTGTTTTTGGCATATCGAATATGCCACGGGGAGCTTGCCAAGTTCTGCCATGTGGTTGTGATACTCTCGGTAGCTTGCCAGGCTCTCCAAGAGGGACGGAGGAATCAAACCCGGGTCGGCCACGTGCAAGGCAAATGCTCTACCTGCTGTGCTATAGCTCCAGTACAATACGACAATTAAAAAACACAAATCCTGAGCAGGTGAATATGCCAATACTCCTGCAATTTGTCTACTCACCAAGATTTAAGGTACTTCTGCTTTTAATGGAGTCACAAAAGCCTCAGAATAAATTCTCTCTTTTGAAGCTAAGAGTCTACTCTACTCCCTTCAGTGCCAAAATTGTGCTATTTTAACTGCCAGATTGTAATTGGTCACACCTATGTTCCAGATGATGAGGATAACATTCAAATTGGTCACAGTAAAATTCCAATAGGCATTCCAATTGGTTATGCCAGTGTTCTTCCAATTGGTCACACTAATAGTCCAAGTGGGCATTCCAACTGTGTACATAAGTTTTCATTAGAAACCTGAGCCCGCTTAACTTTTGCATAGGTCACTGTTAACAACTTTCTCGCTCTTAGCTTATCTCTTAACTCATGTCTACACCTTGCACCAGATCACCTCTCATCTGCACTATTAAAAAGCACTGTCCTAGACCCTGAACTTAAAAAACATCCTTCAAGAAGCTTTTATCACAGTCCAGCTCCACTCCCCGCCCCCTCCCTGGACCCAGGACATTCCTAGCTACAAAGTTATAAACTCACACATCTTAATAAGAAATCAACCATCTTACTTTTTCAATTGCCTAAACAGGCCTGGCTTCTGCATGACAGGACACATCTTCCCAATCAAGCTGAGTGGAGACCACTCTTGCTTCCAACAACTTAATTTACAGAACATCTTTCTCTCAGTGTCAGGGCCATGTCTGGGCCCTTCTTTTGTCCCCAGTGACAGTCTATATCTGCCCTCCTCTTCCAATGCTTATCATTCAGTTAGACCAAATTCTACCTACTTTGGGCGTACTCTGTTGTCTCCTCAGTAGCCTCAACATCTTTGTTAACCCATCTGCCATTCAGTTTCCACTCAGGCTTCAAGTTTCTTGACCTCAGGGGCCAACAGGCTTTGCTTCCACCGGCTTTTAGTTTCTCAGCAGCATGGTAACCACTTGTCTACCATTTCTGTCCAAAATGCATTTGCTCTGCAGATTCTGAGATCTTCAATTGGAGCCACAATCCTCTGATCTTTCAGCTGTCTCATTTACTCTTTCAAATGATCTCTAATTTCTTCTTTTCTTCCCACTGGTTACTTAATAACTCCCTATTTTCTTAGTTTATCAACTTCCTTTAAGCAATGTTTGCCTTCTTATCAACTCTATGCTTTAAAGTTAGTCATTTCAATTGTACCGTATCTGAAGCAGAAAATTCCTTATCCAACTCATCCCTGCCCCTCAAGCTGAATGCATGGATTTACCACAGCCTAGTCCACATCAGATGTTAGTCCTCTGTCTATGTCCCCATTCCCTATGGCTTGAAAATTACCACTAAAAGCCATTTAATGGTGCCAATTGTTTTCCATACACATTTTTGCTATCTCATGCCTGCTGATCTTCCAGTACTGCTAGAAAAATTTGCGACTCCTGTCTAGT